CAGGATCATTTGGGAAACACAACAATCTCACTTTTAATCACTTCTCATGCGATACAGTACCTTATTTGATTCCTGAATGGTTTGATTCTCAACGATTACTCTCTGATTACAATTACAGCGAGCTTCGCTCGCTAACGAGTGTCCTCAGGTACTTCGATAGGAAGCAGAGTTCAGTTATCGACTTTTCAGTGTCTTCAGTATTCCTCCTTCCGCGTGTGAAGTGGGTCCCTGTGAGAAGTTTTCCATGTGAGGGAGGGCCAGTCGGATCGGCCGGCTTCGCCGGCCGATCCTCCTTCCGCGTGTGAAGTGGGTCCCTGTGAGAAGTTTTCTCAAGCACCGACTGGCCCTCCCTCACATGGAAAACTTCTCACAGAGGGCCCACTTCAGCACGCGGAGGGCCCAGTCGGATCGGCCGGCTTCGCCGGCCGATCCTCCTTCCGCGTGTGAAGTGGGTCCCTGTGAGAAGTTTTCCATGAGGGGGAGGGCCAGTGGGTCCTGTGAAAGTTTTCCATGAGGGGGAGGGCAGTGGGTCCCTGTGAAAAGTTTTCCATGAGGGGGAGGGCAGTGGGTCCCTGTGAAAAGTTTTCCATGAGGGGGAGGGCCAGTCGGATCGGGAGGCTTCGCCGGCCGATCCCAATTCCGCGAACGCCTTCTCATCATGTTTAGGCACCTCGCCCATCAAAGTGGGGACATTTCCTTCAAAGTCTACCTGCTTCCTTAACTTAAAGCAATCTGCGCTCGAAACGGCTTCTTCAAGATCTGCAGGAAGCAGTTGGAAACAGCCTCTGTACACTTCATCATTGTCGCAGCAATTCAAGCAATTTGGCACGTTCATTTTGCGGGTCCTGCAGTTACATGCCACGTTAGAGTGTAACATTTTGTCGGTGATATATACAGTGCGCCTTCAGCAATGCGAAGCATGGGGCACATTTATAAGCAACGCTTCTGACAAAGTACTCTAGCTGGGGAAAGGAGGTGTACTCTTTGATTTATGCCTTCAACTTTCAACGGGTTGGTTCAGATAATTCCCGGTTGACTCAGTGGAGCCGTTCTGGTGAAGCATTTTGGCCAGCTTTCGGATTTGACCCCATCAAGTTGGTTGATTATGGTGAGACTTTCCACATTCCTTACAGTGATTGACATCTGAAAAATGATTACACACACTGGGGATCAAAAGGGTTCACTCCGCTCTTGAATGGGTGATCTCAATGAAGTGTACATTATAATAGCCAGCCATTTTAGGCATTTCGAATTGAAACATTTAATTGCCTCTAAAATTCGTCAGGTGCGCGCCTGATTTCCGATTGTGCAAAATAGTGGTCGCCTCATTTCCGATTAAGCAAAATACGAGCGCTTCCTTCCGATTGTGCAAAATACGAGCGCTTTCATACTTCGTGGTTGTGCGATCGTATGAGCGCGCGCTTCCTCTTCAGGGTAATCGCGCCGGGACCGCGGTCGGATGCTCAAGTGCGATTGTGCCGTTTACCTTACGTCCGGGGTTACTACGTTTGGTCCCCAATAGATTCCCAAAGTCTGTAAGGCTTTAGGACGAACAGCGAACTGTGGGACGTATTAGGTTGCCCGGAAGTTCTCAGCGTTTTGTGTTACTATTTTTGTACATTCATTGCTGATTAAAAACTCATTCTCCCTTGCGTCTCAGTAGTACATCCTGAAGAGAATTTTTGCGCTATCTGATGGTATAATTGCCGTTTCACCATTGCTTGATTGACCCCTTTTTTCAAGAGTTTTTCAAGCATGTCAAAAGAGCAACTTCGGACGATATTTTTCTTCAACTACAAATTGGGTCAATCCGCAGTCGAGACAGCTCGACAAATTAACCAGGTGGGGGCCAATAGTGTTGGAGAAAGCACCGTGCGACAATGGTTCGACAAATTTCGTTCTGGAGATTTCAGCCTTGAAGATGAACCTCGTAGCGGTCGACCTAAAGCAATATCTGACGAGGTTTGAAGGCATTTGTGGAGGCTGACCCATCCCAAACAGTTCGAGAGATTGCAGAAAAGCTAGGCGTTGGCAAATCCACTGTTGCGGATGGTCTGAAAAGCATTGGGAAGGTGAAAAAAAAACTCGACAAGTGGGTGCCCCACAATTTGAGTGACCGGCAGAAATTGGCACGTCTCGAGGTTTTCTTCACTGCTTTTGCACAACAGAAACGACCCGCTTTTGGACCGAATTGTCACGTGTGATGAAAAGGAGATCATGTATGATAACAGGAGACGTTTCGGACAGTGGTTGGATGCCGGCGGACCCCTGAGGCAATTTCCAAAGCCGAATCCTCACGACAAAAAGGTTATGGTCACAGTGTGGTAGTCATCGGCTGGTGTGATCCACTATAACTTTTTGTTACCAGGCCAAACCATCACAGCAGAGTCCTACTGTGAAGAAATCGACGAAATGTACCGAAAATTGCGTCAGCTGCAGCCAGCACTTGTCAACAGAAAGGGTCCGATTCTTCTGCATGACAACGCCCGCCCACACGTTTCACAAATCACTATCCATAAATTGAACGAATTGGGGGTTGAAGTTCTACCTCACCCGCCATATTCTCCAGACCTTTCACCAACCGACTATCACCTTTTCAAACATTTTCAGAACTTCCTTGCTGGAAAATACTTCATCAATCAGGACCAGGCAAAAAAGCCTTCGTGGATTCTCGACCACCCAGTTTTTTCTTTGATGGGATTTCTCGACTGGTGTCACATTGGCAAAAGTGTGCTGATTCGAACGGTGCTTATTTCGATTGAATCCGATGAGTATTAAGAAAGTTATGATCGTTTAAAGTGAAACACTCAAAACGCTGAGAACTTTCCGGACAACCTAATAGTAAAGGAAGTAGAAGGCCAAGCAGAAGAGCACCTGGACAAGCTCAACTCCATAGTAATCCAGTTCAAATGCCGCAGCTTCCGCCGCTGATCATTCTCTTTTTAGGATGTGGCACTCACTTCGTTTTGATTTGTGATTGCATAAGCTTTTGAATGCGACGTGGACTGTGTAAGGGTTTGCGGGGGCTAGCAAATGTACAAGCGAAGGCAGTACCCGTGTGGGAGGGGTCTCCCTCACCCCTCCCACCAGAGGGTACGTACAAGTGTTCCTGTTCCGGAAGGATGGAAAGTATGTTGGCCCAGGCAGTGACCCATCTGGAAGGCCACTCCTACATCGCATGCGCTGTATGTGGCGCTACTTGCCACTATACGACTTTAGGCCTAATAGATTAATATTATTGTTGTGCTACTACATTAGGTTATCACATAGGGTTCTCACTGGCGTTGTATTGCCAATTATTGGTTTGTCCCAAACTTTTTCCGCAGCTACATACACGTACAGCAGAAACCAGTTGTCTTGAACATCTAGATTAGAATTGCAGATCTACCAAGTGAACTGCTGGGGTGACCTGGTTCGGGGTTCTCTGACACACTTAGATCGTTAGGCAGTTATAATCCTAGATGTTTGAAATCTTGATTCCAACTTTCCCTCCAGAGCTGAGACTTCCTTCACTACAAATTGATTTCAGTGGAATTCTTTGCTTCAATTTCTGTACAGGAACGAACCCACTAGTGTGGTGAGGTTTTGCTCTATCAACCTAGTTTTTGCTTTGCACGTACCACAGAAAAATATCTGATGGGTGTTCTGAGACATCCTTAAAGTTATTATGCATCCCTGGATTTGAAGACAGTCTCAAACAGCCTCTAGGCTCTGCCTTTGCTGAGCACAGGTGATAATGTTTTCCATTTGCGTCAGCGCCAAATACAAATGTCATATTCTCGATTGGAATGTTATTTAGCTCGTGCATGGAAACTTCCAGTGGATTTGATGAAGTGTAGGCACTTTATAAATAAGCAGCGGCACGATGGGCAGCCTCCCGCTGCATAAATATAGCATCTAGAACCCTCTGTAGGGGCAGGATACAGTATCGTGATCTGTACTAAAATGGTGGTGTCAGTTCGCCCCCTCGCCCCACCTAAATCAGGGTTTCGGTACCTCGACGTGACCTTCCCCCCCAGCCAATCCATGGGTTACCCGCTCAGGCTAAGAATATATGTCCTAGTGTGTGTTTCCCAAGACTTTCCTCTGAGATGATAGACTTTGTGATAACGACTACTGTTTTCAGCAACTGTTTATCCGACTGGCCCTCCCTCACATGGAAAACTTCTCACAGGGACCCACTTCACACGCGGAAGGAGGATCGGCCCTCCCTCACATGGAAAACTTCTCACAGGGACCCACTTCACACGCGGAAGGAGGATCGGCTGGCCCTCCCTCACATGGAAAACTTCTCACAGGGACCCACTTCACACGCGGAAGGAGGACTGGCCCTCCCTCACATGGAAAACTTCTCACAGGGACCCACTTCACACGCGGAAGGAGGATCGGCCGGCGAAGCCGGCCGATCCGACTGGTTCATCATATTCTATGGAGCCGATAAGAGCTTTCCAGGATCGTTGGCCATAAGTCAGATACTGTTCCTCAAGCCGATTCAAACCGGAAATCAAGGAAAGAGTGGTCAGTGAACCATGATTTTCAGCTGAACCTTGCTGAAACCCTGTCATGAAAAGTATCAAAATGATCACGGAATCATGCTCTTTCTGAATATGCTGGTATTTATGGCTTTGTGGCACTTGGTTTGAAGTTCATAATTGGACTGGAGGGTTGACGACGCAGCCGTGTCCGCAGGTAACCTTAGGTTACTGGAGACTCAAACCTCGATTTCCTTGGGAAAAACGTCAAAAAATTGGAGGAAAGTGGAAGGTCCATACATCATTGGATTCGTCTTGTACAGGACTATCGAATGGTCTGAATTTCAGATCATTTGGACCACTTCTACAGAAGTTATGGCAAAACGACGGTTTGCGACGGAAAAATCTGTCGCAAACCGTCGATTGACCACAAATTAGGAGCGGTATTGTACCTTATACCGCTCAGAAGTGTTGACCATTTTTCTGAAGACGCCATGCACCAACTTCTATTGGAAACGTGTCAACTTTTGCACTGATCAGCTTTGTCCTCTTGCATTTGCAGCGAAGAATTTAGGCGAAAATTTATCTGACTGACGATCCTCCAGCGCTAGCTCTCCGAATGTGCATGAAAAGTTAGCCAAATTCCATACCAAAGGAAAAAAGCAGTATCGAGCAGTGCCGTGCTTCAAGGTGCGGGGAGCTGGAACACACTTCAATGCACTGGTCAACATTGTTTTTACACCTAATCTGTAAAGGTTAAGTGATACGGAATTGCTGGCTCAGCTGAATCTGATTCGATCCTCGGATTATTCGTCTGGCGATCCGTAACTTGCAGCTGTTTCAACTACACCCCTTGATTTTTCCGATGTAGAAATCATTGACTAGGATTTCCAGGGAACCTTCCGGCCGGCTGCTCTTGAGGTGATAAAAGTGATGAAGGCTGATGTCTGCTGTTTGGAGTTGTGCTAGCCAATATGACTGGAAATCAGACACTGAATAAGGTAGGCTGATGCTTGAAAAAGAAGAAGTTCCCTCTCCAGTGAGACTGATGAAATGAACGACCTCCCGAGAGCATCACAAGGCTCATCCTTCTGTGATCTTTGATTTCTTTACCCTTTCCGTCCAACCAAAACTTTGGTTCACTCTGAAAACATATGATAATCAGTGACGATATTTATTCAAATCACAAGGAATAAATCGACAGCGCTGCTCAATATGAGTATTTCATGCAAAAGTTTTTTCTGATAAATTCTTTTACTTGAGTGGTAGTTAGGCACTAATCGTTTCCGAGCTTCTTGGTTTCATTCGAACTGACTGGTTCAACTTACTGGGCTAGCAAAAAGGTTTCAGCGGGTTCATCTCCATCTGAGCAACTTACTCGATCCTCGATCTTCCTAGTAAATTATAATGTCATTAGATACCGTTGGTCTGATGGGTTCAAAATATCGCTCAGGACGACATTACGAGTCTCGGATGAAAAGTTTTTCAAAAGTTTCTCAAACTTACGGGAGTATCTGACTGGTACCAAACTCACCAGAGCGGTCTAATGAACACTACCGTAGACTGAGTGGTCCATGAAACTCCCTGTAAATATACTTGACATCATCATTCTTAATGGAAATCGAATTCTGATTAGTGACGTGTGTTTCATCCTTTTTTCCCGGAGGCTTGTTCTACCGCTAGGACAGAAAACAGTACATACTTTTCTCGGATGTATTCAAACTATGCCTCACTGGAGAGTGGGAGAATCGGGAGATAAGACAAAGGGAGCGTGAGCCAGAGGGAAGTGTAGCTATCGATATGACTTGGGAATGAGATTGAGAATGTAGAATGTGCTCTGCAATAGGAGAATCGCAACTACTTTGCTGGGCGCACGTTCTCCCGTTTCCTCCTATTCGCTCTACTCGCCAGTTCGCTACCTAATCTCTCCTTTGACGGGCATTCTCCTGATCTCCTACCCTTTGATTTTCCCCATTCTAAAGCGTCGCAAAGTATGAACGCGGACTTATCGTTCTGTTTAAGCCACTGTTAGGAAGAAGCCGGAATGAACATCTTCTCATGATGAAAAGCGGATCTCTCGTCGGTTTTGCTATAGCCATAGGAATTGTATTTATGTGGTACAGCTTTATTGATCCATACCTGGTGAGTTCGCCGCTTCCCATTCTGGGAATTTCCTTTGTTCAGCATTTATTTTACATTATATTGAGGCCATAGTAACGGCGATATTGGAGGGGACGGACTACTCAGGCCCATCATCGTCCACGGTAACTCTTTACGATTATTATTTCTGTACTCAATATCTATAAGACTTCCCGACACTGTAAACAGTCTTTTCAAATGATACAATTAGGCATCCCGTATGAGGATTGGTATCGTAACAGTACTGGACAAGAGCCGTTCTCGATTGAAGTACCGTACTGCAATGCAAACAATGGAATGCTATGCACTTCGACATAACTACACCTATAAAGTGCTTCTTTTTCCGAGATTATGAGAAGGTCTGCTCTCATAAAGATGTAAGATTTCACAGTCAATTTTGGCTCTTGTACTCAGGGCACGTCTCGGCTGTGGTGTAGTGGCAAGTAGCACGCTTATCACGCGTGTGCTGTCCGAGGGTCAAATCCCGGATCGGCTCTCACCCGAGCCAACTCAACGTCAAACGTCCGTGGACGCTAAAATAGTCTCACACCAGGGGTTCCAACGAAGCTCGTAAGTGCCAACAGTAGAGGAGGGGGATACATTTGTCCTGCGATAAATTTCTTCTGAATGCTCATTTCCACGCGCACGATGCCCTTCCTTCCCCTGGACGGCGAAGCAGCAATACAACTACTTCTGATGACTGTTCGGAAGTGGGAACGCTCCTCCCTCGATCAGCCATTTTATCGAAAAACTCAGCAAGACCATCGGTCCGTTGCGGGAAGGAGAGGGCCATACGGGATGAGAGAAATGGGTTCTTATAGGGCAAATAAATCCTCCTCAGCGCCTGGAAGTGCCCTGCTCCTACTGTCCTCAACGGATACTAATCTATGATAACAACAGATTACTTTCCGACGTCACTGTATCGTAGCGATAGTCTTGCAATCGTTCGACTGGATACTTTTCGTTGATAGTGATATGGGAGTGGTCAATGAGGACAGGTGCGATTTTCTACAAGACTATAAGTTCAGGATGTTAACCCGATCTACCGTAACCCTCACCCTTACCAGATCTTATTACAATCGTACAGAATTCCACCGAGCTTTCGTCGCCGAAAGGGGCAAGGGGCTCTTCTCCAATGAACTATCACTTCCACTTCAACCATTATTATTGTTTCACATCATCGTTGGGAATTCTCCAGCAGGGAAGGGGAGGGGGCAGGGGGATCGAATTTGGCCACTAGGGAAGAGGGGGTCGTACTTGGTTTAAGAAATTTTTTTCGAAATTTGATTTTTCTTGTTTGACGGACGCTATAGGGGGGGGTCGTATTCCGTGGGAGAGAAAGGGATCACATTCGATTTCTGAGTCTTCTGAGAGAAATTTGTGGCCTTGGGAAGACTTTTTCTTTTTTTTGTTGACTTTTCGCGGTTTTTCCATACTTTTTATTGACTTTTCGCGGTTTTTCCTGTTTCACTCTGCTATATACCCCTCCCCACCTTCCCTCCCGCTCGACAGGTTATCGGAAGTGGAAAATATGGGGGGAGGGGGTCGTATCAAGCCACGTCCCAGGGGGTGTTGTTCCGACTCGACCAAAATTCCCAACTACCAATAATGTGAAAGTGAAGTCATTACTGCTTCAGGAAGTTGGAGGATTACGTCGATTCGAGCAAGGACATCATTTTCTATAACAGATTCTTTAATCACGAAATCATGGCTGGTAAGATCTTCGAAAGATCAGATTCGAGACCAGACCTCTGACAAACCATTCAAGGGTCATATCTGGTGAAGCGAAGTGCCTTCTCAATAAGATTCCTGCGTGGATGGGCGGATTATGAGTTTTCTCTACCGAACTCCTTTCATGGTAGAGACAACGGAGCCATTCACGTATGTCTTCGTTTATTATTTACTTATGTAAAAACCATACTCGCCCAAGCCAATGACGGTTGAGGGAAACGGGTTTCTGACCATCAGATTAGGAAGACGCAGTGCTGTTGAATTCGCACACACGCAGTAAGGCACTGCACGCTTTCCTAGGAGGAAAAGTTTTCCCATGGGCAACGTGGGCAATTTTGTAGCTGTAGAAAACACCACATTCCCACATGGAAGTGTGTACCAGTGACGCTGAATAGTTGTGAAAGCTGGATGTCAGTCATGTCCCATCTAGCAAGCAATGTACACCACGGACGCGCAACACGCCGCACGAGCAGCTACACGCCTAGGCATAGAGGCACATGATGCACTTTGGATTATGGTAGAGTCCGTGCGACACTCTTCCCCTGAAAGGAATCGATACTACCGCCCCCCTCCCCTCCAGACTTGCTGTTTTTCCTTTTTATATTACGTTGTCCGGAGCTTACGTGAGGAAAAAACAGTGCTGACATTGTGAGCTGAGAAGTCCCGCTGGCTTCTTAGCACCTTCCAGCACTGTACCTCATCCGAATGAAGAAACTGTGTACCAAACACTCCGTAGTTCACAGGACGAGATTCCAGCTAAACAGCTACCTTTATTAAGTGGGTGTTTAGCCCTGATGAAAGACTCCGGTTTTTTGGATCCCACTATAATGTACAGTTGTTTTCAAATTCGCGCGCGCGAAAAAAGCTCGCGTAGCAGCCGACGTTAGAGCATATTTGGCAATGCCCCTCCTCAAGACATACGGTACGATATTTTGGTGGTATAAAATGCTAGCGGGTGCTATATAGTGGGGAAAATGGCAAAAAACGAAGTGAAAGGTCAATCACCTGCAAAAAAAGATTGGTTTTTAATGACTCGAAAAGCAGTTTTGAACGAGGTTCCCTTAGGCATCTTGCCAATAACCGCTACGGTAGATACGGCTGCGCGTATGTACTCGTATATCCATGCAGCATCGCAGCCGCTTCATATCAGTCCTTTCGCTTCATATTTTGATTCGCAAATGAAGCAATACGAGCTTCAGGTACAGTCGTCCATTTGTGGGCGGGCAGGCGCGGTGGGGGTCCGGATTGTTGCAGCTTGATAGTGCCTTATTAGGGTGCCCCTTGAAAAAGGTTTTAGGCAAGGCTTTCTCAGGTTCGAGGAATATCCTCCTGTCAGGCATATCATTCCTACTCGTCTTAGGAAGTTATTGTGCCAACTGCCTTTAAGTTGGCCTGTCAGTCATCTACGTACGTACGAGCTTATCTCAACTTATTAAGACTGTTAGTTAATTATTTTGATTTTTTTAGTGCTAGTGAACCCTTGTGGTGCTGTGGTGTTCTTTGCCCCTCTCATTGCGACCCAACCCACCTCAACGGCTAAATACGACCTCCTCTATGGGGATTCCCCATGAATATGTGCCCTGTAACACTCACTTTACTTTCCTGTGATGTTAGTTTGATATTCGCGAGAAACTCGCACACCTTAGCGTTCCTCGTCTCCCTGCGACAAGAGTTTTATCGTCCTAACAAACCCGCGGCATGTAAGCTACAAAATTGGATAGGGTTGCTCGAAATTGCACTTGAGTGAATCGCGTGTAAGTATTGCTGTTAGGTACAATTTTTGGATGTCCTTATAAAGGGCAACTTTCGCGGAAGTCCATTCATGGGAGTTGGGTTTACTAAGATGGTTTTATCGTCCACAAGGGGTTGGCGCTACGATATCCGTCAAATGGAGGTTTAGAAGGAAGCTTAATTCTACTTTAATTTAATTTTAATTTTTAACTTAAGCTCAATTTTTCACTTTTTTCACCCCCCCCCGCCCCCCCCCTATCCGGTGAATGGGCAAGACTAGTGAAATCATCTTGCATTTCATCTTAATTTTAGCCTTAGACTTTTTATCGACGTCCAGTCGATTGCTGGTGAAGAACGACCGTGTGACACTCTTGGGGAGGTCCACTGCACTCACAAATACTTATGTACAGTGCATACGGGAACGCTTGACAGGCGTAGAATAGAAAAACAGGCATGGTTGTGGACAGATGACGTAAGGCTAAAGGTTCACGAGAAGAAGAAGCGAGCGCTATCACTTGTTCCTCAAAGACAAGTCAGCTGACAACTGGCGGAAGTATCAGGAAGCGAGGCAAGTACGGGGCCAAAGAAAGGCTGTGCCTGCTATTAAACAGGCCGCCATCGAAGAGTATCAGCAAGAAGCCTGGGATGGCGCACGCGGCCAACATCTATCCGAGCCCGAGCGCGGCGCGCGTCGTTACCACCGACGCGACAGATGTAGAGAAGTTCTTCGGCATCAATGACGAGAAGGGCCGCCCTTTGATGGACCGAACAAAGGTGCTGAGGCGATGGCGCGACTACTTCGGAGAAATTTCCACAGTGGAATATGAACACCCGGCCATCCCTGCGCCTTACCAACATACGGTCCCGTTCAGAAGATAAGCGTGGAGGAAACGGAGGCGGCTCTCAAGAAGATGAAGCCAGGCAAGGCAACGGGCCCTGACGATGTGGCGGCGTTTGAACAAAGTATGGAAGGTCACACTGCTGGGCTGCTGCCGAATGGGTGTGACCAATGTTCTTCAAATCAGGTCGTTGTAGAGAGACAAACGCCGAACGTTATCATCCTTGTAGACTGCTCAAATTATTCGTCCAATTCGCTGCTTGCACAACATTTGTAACATTCTGAAGGAATTGTTAATTGAGCGTCTTCGTGATATCGTCCAGCTCTCTACCAACCAGTGTGGCTTCGTGACTGGCTGTAGCACCATCGACGCCATACATGCCGCTCGCCTCTTGCTGGAGAAACATCGTGAGAAGAAGAAGCATGTCCACCTAGCCTTCCTTGATCTGGAGAAGGCATTCGACCGTGTCCCACGTGAAGTTATATGGTATACCTTACGGCAGCACGGGCTTCCGAATAGCTGATTGAGTTCGGTACGCAATCCTGTACTTTAGGCCGACGAGTCGAGTGCGGAGTCCAACAGGCATTTCGATGGGGTTCCCATCACAGTTGGGGTGCACCAAGGCTCAGCGCTTTCCCCGCTGCTCTTCATTGTCGTCATGAACGCCATCTCACGGGACCTCCAAAAGCCGGCTCCTTGGACGCTTCTCTACGCTGACGATGTGATGCTCGCGTGCGAGAATAAAATGGTCTCGAGGAACAAGTGCAAGCTTGGACTGAACGGTTAGCAAACTTCCGAGCGAATTCCAGGCTCAGATTGAACGTCAAGAAAACCGAGTACCTGACGACTGACCCGGACGAGTCTGGTTCCCTTAAGGTCAGCGGCAGTGTGCTCACGCGAACTACAGCGTTCAAATACCTCGGATCAACAATTACGTCTGACGGTAGTCTCGACTCAGAAGTGAGCGCACGTGTGAGTGCAGCCTGGTCTAAATGGCGGTCTATGACTGATGTTCTCTGCGACAAGACAATACCAGATCGCCTCAAATCGAAGATCTATTTTCTTTTATTATTTTCTTTCGCTAGTTGCTTTTAATACGCCTTACACCTCATGGTGACACCTGTACACTCGTGTCTAGTGTAGGCGAAGCTCCTGAAGGTCCTCCAGGAGATATCGGCAGTGATCGATGTGAACCAGTATGCAAGTTCACCGAATTTTGTGAAATGGGTGGGGGAGCTAAATTGGCGCCAAGTGACTCCAGTGCCCAAAAGTTAAGCTCGCGACTAGGGCATCGAATTGGCGCAGTTCGCTGGCGGGAGGGGGGGGGAGGGCAGGCATTTTGCACTTTTGCTACTTCCCATCGACGTGTCGACCTATCTAGACAGCCTCTTCTCGAGTTGACAGGTTTTACCATGATGGCTTGACGAGCTTGCTCCAGCTTCACAAGAGTTCACAGGTTTCACCAGAGTGAGACTTGTAAACCAGAACTAGTGAAGCAACGAAAGTGCAAAATGCCCTCCCCGTCTCCGAACTGCGCCCATCAAACTTCACTGGGCGGGATGAGGGGGGGGGGGATTTCAGCAAAAAAATTTTGAGTATCTGGGGAAGTCATAGTACAATGGTACCCTTCGCTATACGATTTCTCAACAACGGATCCTTGAAAAATAGAATCTTTACTGCCTGGTTTTTTGACATTTGGAAAAAACAACCCGTTACCATAACAAAACAGCTTCAAAATGACATTTGGTTTCAACTTGCAGCGCCCCAATCTTTGAAAGTACGGAGTGGGCCTGAATCCAGGGTGACGATCGCGATGCCACCCTGGGCTCAGGCCCCTGAGTTTGGAGTACTCACAGTCAAGTTAATACAGATTCACGGTTGAACCTCACAACTCCCATCAAACTTTCCTGAGATGCTCCTTTGATATTCACTGGAAAACGTGCAATCAAGCACTTCCTATCTTGGGGATCCCCGGCCAGGGGTACTGTATTTGGTCGCTTGGTGGGAGGGGGTCGTATATGCCTCTGAGAGCAAAATATTATCGATTGTCGATTTTTCCATTTTTCCCGTTTCATGCTTGCTATATATTACCACCCCGCAGAAACCTTCGCGAAAGCAGAAAGTTGGGAGAACTCAGGAAGGTGATAAGTAGGATTTGGGGGTAGGGTCGTACTAGAGGAGTGGAATCCAAGGGTGGTGGTTGTGCTTCGCAAAGTTTTCCCCAGCGCAGGCGTGCCCTGCGCGCATTTGTTACCCCTTACACCATTTGGCCACATTTTATCGCAGCTGTAAACCCGCGGCTTATACGCAGCAAAGTAATGGCGGGTCTGCTCAAAGTGTTCGTGAAAGAAGCGTTCACGGGACGTAATAGTATGAGTGAGATGGTTAGATTTGGCACGTTCTTCTTTTCTAACCCCCAATTTTTGCGAGCCCTTACTACGTAAAGGCTAGTTTTGCAACAACCATAGACGAAAGTACCGTTTTCTTGAAGGGACTCCATTTCCAAAAATTGAGTGATATTCGCGATCAGGGCATCGCATTACCCTCATGCGTTGGGGCAGTTTTCAGCAAAAAAGTTCGAAGTGTCTGGGGTTAGTGAAACACGATGGTGTAGCCTTTTTGCATCCGATTTCTCAAAAAGTG